CTCCTGCCACACATCCTTCTCTTGTCTGTGTCATGGCGTCTCGCTCTGCTTCCTCGGATGCATCTCTGGCTATTGTACTATCTCCTCTCCCCACCCTCTCCCTCTGACTCACACACAAATTATTTAGTTACACAGTGTTCCTAATGTTTTATTTACCTGTATGATTGTGTGTACATTGATGTGGGGGGGGCACACACATGTAGATGCGCTTGTGGAATCCAAAGAACCAACTTGGGCATCATCTTCAGAAACACACTCCAGCTCCATTAAGACAGGGTCACTGATTGGCCTGGAGCTCACCAGTTTGGCTGGACTAGCTGGTCAACAAACCTCGGGTATCTTACTGTCTCTGTCTCCCCCATGCTGGAATGGAAAACACAAGGCACCACACCCATGCTTGTCAGGCAAGCACTTTACCAGCTGAGCAATCTTCAAGGCCTCTTCAGTTACATAGTTTCTCCTTACTGGCATCTTAGGCTCCCGATGAGCCCCAAACAAACTCTGCATCTCTAAACCTCCAGCACACCGCACGGCACAAGATTCACAGTCAAAGGGCAAATGGTCTTCACTGACTGAACATGTAAGACCACAAACATGGAATATGCTACTATTCTGAATTACTCAGGCAAAATGATCAAAAGTCCATTTCATTTGTAAGACAGTCTCAGACATGAACTACTTGTGTCTTAGTGAAACCTGTAATAGCCTTGGCTCAGGGACTGAACTAGATTTGCCTATCATTCTTCATCCTCTGTAACACCTGTACACAAATTCTATAGTCCTTAAGTGAAAAATGGGATTTTCAAAAACAGCTCTGTGAAGAAATAGAAAACCTTAAGATTTCAAGAAAAAGTTTCAAGAGTACCTGGAGAGCTAAGAGCACACACTTCTCTCACAGGATCGGAGTTTAGGTCCCAGCATCCACATCGGGTGGCTCACAACTTGTAACTCCAGTTTCAGGGGCTCTAACACCCTCTTCCAGGTTCCTGTTGAGTAGCAGTTTCCTCCTGTATTAAAACCTTCCACCTTGAAAGGAGGCCCCTTACAACACAGGATGTTTACAGAGAGGTGAAACAGGGTCTTCTCAGGGGACGTTCCCTTCCTGTGGGGAAAGTCCCTGAAACTAACCAGATTCACAAGGTCCCTCTCTCCCTGGCATATGTACAGGTAAGAACTGCTAAGAGGTACTCTCAGACGAGCTGAACTGCTTAGAAGAGGAAGAGACAAGCCTATGCCCTCCAAGCTGTTAACTGCCGGACAGCTGTGCAGTGTGCTCCAGGGTTCCAGCTTTGTGAACTGTCGCCCATGCTGGGGTGAACTTTGGTGACACAGCTGTCTTTTAGTCATTTCTGCTCCTGTAAGTAACTCCTCTCCCATGTTCCTGTGAGTAGCCCCAAGTTGGAATTTGGTGGCATCCTTACTTCAGTCTGTATTCCATAAATCTAGTTATTTCACTCAGCTCTCCATCAAGGATGAATAGATGTTATGTCTCCCTAGCAATAGTGTCACACAGCACTTCCCTGGGCATTTGCACTCACAAGCACATAATTTCATTTAAAATGTCAAAATAGTCTTAAAATGAGTCTTCAGATCCCATTAAGGTTTCATAAAGAGTCATATTCAGTGCTGTTATCACAGCACTAGAAAAGGCAAGAGTATCATGAATTCAAGGCAAGCCTGGGCTACATAGTCACTACCCCTCCCCTCCCCCACCAACAAGAAAAGGTTTCATAAAGGACTTATAGAAAGTGAGGAAAGGAGAAAAAATAAAGTCCACAGAAGACAGGGCCTTGTCTGAGAACAGCTTCATGTCCCAGGTCAAACTCAAAGCCCGCGGAAGCTGTGCACACACACTGTACCCAACAAACTTCTACAATTACTAGTTACTTTTCAAACTCTTCTCCCCAAGGTGAATACCAACAACACTACCACCATCACAGCTTGCACTGTGGACTCCAGCCTCATTTCTTTTCCCTCTTTGATTAACCAATGGAGGTAGAGAGTACTGAAAAGGCCAAGTTTCCATTCTGGAGGATATAAACAAAAACAGCTCTAGACTGCTCTAAGTAGATCCTAATTTTTAACTTATACTAATCGGACTTTCTTTCCTACGAATGTAAAATGTCCATTCTAGTAAAATTCCATAAATCCAGTTATTTCACTCTTCAGGACCTGAGGTCAAATTAAAAGTCCGCTAATCTATTCTTGCCTGTGTCTAAAAAAAAAAATTGCTGTACCACAGCTTCTGCCACTGCCACTCAAGACACCCATAGGGGCTAGTGAGACAGTTCAGAGTGTAAGGTCACTTACTGCACCAGCCTGGCAACCTGAATATGATCCCCAGAACCCATGTAAAGGTAGAAAGAGAGAACTGACTCCTTAAAGTTGCCCCTTGACCTTCATGGAAGCACATACATAAGCACACACACACACACACACACACACACACACACACTTAATAAACTTACATCTTTTAAAAAGACTGAAGCATAAGGTAGTCAAGAATCATTCCATTCCACAGAACCAGGCTTAGGCTGCACACGACTATAAAGTGCAGTGAGCAACCACTAGTTTTGCCAACCCAGCATCTATTCCTCTGCAAGCAGAAGCATCTGAAGTCCCCTTTGAAAACTGCCTTCTCAAAACCTCACTAAACATGAGCCCATGGGAAGATGGGTAAGTCAAGTACACATCCCATGGCAAAGGCCTGTGTTCTGCATTCATGATCTGTCATGATACATGACAGCCATGCTTTGGGTCTCCAATGGGTGAGTTTATCAGGTAAACAGCAAGCTTGTAGAGCATCAGATCAGAAACACTGTCCAGCAGAGACTGACTGGGGTAGTTCCAGGCACCAAGGAGGGAGCCTCTGATCCAGGAAAGGGGGGGGGCAGTCCGAGGCAGAGAGTCTTCTCCTGGGTAGGCTTCCCATTAGCCATTCCCACCACAGACTTTGGGATGAATAGTAGCTGAGTCTCCAGTTTGGGAAGGTATCTCTCAGCAGAATTCCAGGATACAATGTTTAATCCATCCTGGGATAAGGGATCTTGAAGGACACCTTAGACAAACATGCTTGCGTTTAAAGTAGGGGAGCCAACCTCACCTCCAGAGCCAATTTCTCAGTAAGTTTAAATAGCATATGACAATTTAGGAATACTAGGGGCAGGTTCATGGCTCAAAGTTCACCTGGACACTTTTCCTAGAGCTACCAAAAAGGAACTCTTCCTCTTCCAACTGGTTTGGGAGATGGGATGTTATCTAGAAACAGAACCAAACTAGAATAAGATAACACAAAGGACAGCCAGTGATGGGCCTGGAGATGATGGCGGATACCCTGAGCCCAGCTGTGTATAAGCCATGTCTGTTCTTGAACTTCCCAAGTATAGAAAATCTATATATTTCTCTTTCCTTGCTTTAAGCTATATTGACTCCAATTGCTACTTGAAGAATTTTTTTTGAGCATAAGTAAAATAAACTCATATACAACTCTATTGGAAAGCTCTTTTTCCATTCCTTTCTTTCCACTCCTTAAACTTAGCATAAAAGACTTGGGCAAAAGAATTATGTGTGTCAAAAGCTATGTCAACTACATAAGACCTATGTAGCCACACCACACACGCAGACATTACTCATAGGAGGAAGGGAATGGCATCCAGATTTCATCCAGACCTATGTAGCCACACCACACACACACACACATTACTCATAGGAGGAAGGGAATGGCATCCAGATTTCATCCAGCACTGAGATTTGATTCATAAAGTTTCAGGTGCCTCACCTATGAACTAGAACATAACACACTGCCCAGGATTCTTGGGAGGGCGGATACGGTGGAAGTATATGTTTAAAAGTCCCTGATAGCTTTTGCCTCACAAAGTAGCTTTTCAATATTGTCCATACCAAAAAGGACAAAACATCACCTAAGGGATTCTTACAGAATGCCTAAAATAGGTTAGGCATTGGGGGAGGGTAGTCCATGGAGAAACAGGTCTACACCTGTTTCCATCACCAAGTAGGTAACAGGAAAACAACACTACTGTAAGTAAAATAAACAAGCTGCCATTGGGCACAACACACCCCCAAATGATATGGGCATTTCTAGAACAGGGAAAAGTAGTCATAGCTCTAAGTGCCACCATCTCCACAGCTTAGCTGAAAGGGAAGTCTGCATTTTTAGCTGTTGCAGTACCAGCTACCACTGTGAAAGATCAGGCAAGACCCACAGGGGATCTTACCCCCTCACCAAGTCCTGAACATTCGTGCCAATTAACATGGAGGAAAGAAAAGATAGTTGGGAAACAAGATGGACTATATAGGAATACAAAAGAGGGGGTGTTATTCTGAGGACCTGAGGTGAATTCCCGTAAGTTTATGCCACAAAGGCAAACACAGAAAAGCAGGTAGGAGGTAGAATGAAGAACTATTTCCTGATTCACTGTTTTCATCTGTATATGACAACATCTAGCACACCTAGGCACTGTGCAAAAGACATAAATAAAAGCAATAAAGTAAGTACAATTTGCTTGATCCTTCCTTGAGCTCAAAGTGCCAAGCACACAGGATAATGTCATAAGTCTGCAGTCTGCCCTTATCAAGCAGATACCACTGAAATAGACTGCAAATGAGTTCAAGGCAGTGATGGAGACTCAGTCTCCACAGGTACTAAAACGACAACTGAGAACTTAAATCCGAATCAATTCGACTTTAAATTCCTAGTTCTTCATCAGGACAGCAGGATGGAGGGAAGAGGTGAGCAACAAAATGTTTAAAAAGAAAATGGACAACACTCTTCAAGCTAAACTCTTAAGCTTCAGTAATAAACACAGTCACAAAACCCGGTGGGGAGGAGCAGGAAGGGGGGGGTCTCCCATCAAATAGGATCTTCATCTGAGCGACTTTGGGGTGTAGTTATACCCTTTGCAGGCCTTACTAATCACCCCTAGCCTGGTTCATTCCGGAGTCCTGCGGCACCCACACTCCCCGAAGAATAGATGGCGCACCTTGGTGAGCGCGAGCGGCCGCGGGCCCGAGGCCAGGCCCGGGGCGTTCGCCTCCCGGGAGTAACGCTGCGCGGCCGCAGAGCTGCCATGGGCCCCGGGCCTCTGAGGCGTTCCGCAGCCGCACGAACCCGCGAGGGTCGCCGTGCCGTCCCCGGCCCCGGTCTCTTCGCTCCCTGCTGCCCCGAACGCCAGCACCAGCAGCCAGAAGACACGAGTCAATCCAGTACAGCAACCGAGAGCTGGCCCTTGCACGGGCGCAGCCATGTTGTTCTACAAATCATGTGATCCCGATGGTCACGTGACCTGCCTGGCGGCAAGCGGTGGTTTTAGCTGAGTTAAGGAACAGTCTGAAGATGTTCCCAGGTAGTTGATCTGAACTCTCTAGCTAATGTTAAAAGTATGCAAAACACAACAAAACGCTATAATATTCAAGGCCTTCCACGGACAATGCACCTTCTCTAGTCTTGTGATTAAAAAATAGTGCTCATAATCCATTCAGCATTTTCTAAGCACCACTAATACATTAAATAGGCACTAAATTAAAAACAAACAAAACACTTGTTTAATCTCATAGTGATTCTGAAATATTGGGTTGACAGTTAAGTAACCTACTCAAATCACTTTAAAAAACAGAATCTAAATCCAAGGAATTTAGCTGGAAACCCTGAATTTTAGCCATTACAAGCAATTCAGTAAATGGACCCTTAAAAGGAAAATGAACATGTGGGGGACAGTACACCAGTGAGCAGAGTTAGGGATCTAGACTATGGGATGTGGACAGTGCTTCTCCAAGTTTGGAACATGCCAACAGCAGAGCATCCCCTGGTAACTTACTAGAAATGCGACACTTTATCAGAATCTATGAGAAAAGGGCAAAACAATCAGTAGGCTCTGGAGAGGTGGGGGTGCCTGCCAAGGCCAGAAGAGGACATCAGGTGTTCTGCCCTATCACTCTCTGAGACAGTGTCTTTACTGAACTTGGAGCTAAACAGGAAACCCAGGTAATAGTTATCCAGTCTCTATATCTTCTCAAAGCAATGGAGTCTCAGATTTGGGAAGGGCCCAGATTTCTAGCACACATGGGACACTGCCCAACTCCACCTCTCCTCTGCATATTTTGAAGATACTATGTATGCCCTGACTAACCTGGAACTTACTGTGTAGACAAGCTGAACTCAAACTTTCTGAAATCCGTATTCATCTTCCTCCAAACTGATGAGATTACAGTGGTACACTACTCACCATGCCCAGGTGAACCATGTGTCTTAACTAGTTCTTTAATATTCTGGTGCATTTTGAAGATATCATGGGGTTTTGTTGTTTGTTTTGACAAAGCTATGTGACTATGAACTCCTGATCCTGCTGCCTCAGCCTGCAGGGCTAGTATTACATACCTGTGTAACCATAGCTTATTAAAGTTTAGAAGTGATTTTTCTACAGTTCCGTCAGTAAGTAGATTGCAAGATAAAAACAAAAGTAAGATGAAACAAGGAATCTACAGATAAAAATAGAAACAACATTCTGGCCAGCGTTGTTTTGATTTGCATTTCCCTGATGGCTAAAGATGTTGAACACTTTCTTAAGTATCTTTCAGCCATTTTATATTCTTCTATTCAGAATTCTCTATTCAATTCTGAACCCCACTTTTTAATTGGATTGTTTGGTGTTTTGGTGACTAACTTCTTGAGTTCTTTGTATAATTTAGAAATCAGATGTGGGGTTGGTGAATATCTTTTCCCATTTGTGAGTTGCCATTTTGTCTTGTTGACTGTGTCCTTTGCCTTACAGAAGCTTTTCTGTTTCAGGAGGTCCCAGTTATTAATTGTCTGTCTCAGTGTCTGTGCTAGTAGTTATGTCCATGAAGTGATCTCCTGTACAAATTCATTCAATTCATTCTAGGGTACCTCCCACTTTCTCTTCTGAGAGGTTCAGTGTGGCTGGATTTATGTTGATGTCTTTGATCCATTTGGACTTATGTTTTGTGCATAGTGATAGATAAGGATCTATCTGTAGTCTTCTACTTGTCAACATCCAATTATGCCAGTACCATTTGTTGAAGATGCTTTCTTTTTTCCACTGTATAATGTTAGTTTCTTTGTCAAAAACCAGGTGTTCATAGGTATGTGGGTTAATATCCAGATCTTCAATTGGATTCCATTGGTCTACCTGTCTATTTTTATGCCAAAACCAAGTTGTTTTCAGAACTATAGCTCTATAATAGAGCTTGAAGTCAGGTATGGTGATGCCTTCTGAAGTTCCTTTATTGTACAGGGTTGTTTCTCAGGAGAATGGGAATCAGTCTACCTCAACATCTAGCAATTCTACTCTTGGGTATATACACAAAGGATGCACATTCATACAACAAGAACATATTTTCAGCTATGTTCATAGCAACATTGTTTGTAATAGCCAGAACCTAAAAACAACATAGATGTCCCTCAACCAAGAATGAATAGAGAAAATGTGGTACATTTACACAATGAGGTATTACTCAGTGGAAAGAAAACAATGAAATCTTGAAATTTGAAGGCAAATGGATGGAACTGGAAGAAACCATCCTAAGTGAGGTAACCCAGTCACAGAAAGACAAACATGGTATGTACTCGCTCATATATGAATATTAGAGAAAGAGCAAAAAGTACCAGTCTACAATCCACACCACCAAAGAAACTAGGAAACAAGGAGTGTCCCAAGGGAAGAACACATGGTCCCTGGAAGAAGAAGGCAACAAGAACTCCTGAGCAAATTGGGAGCATGGGTAGAGAGGGGATGGAAGTAGGAAAAAGAGAAGGGGAGAACAAGAGGGGGGAGAACAAGAGGGATCAGGAAGACTGAGACAGGGGAAGAATAGAGGAGAGCAAGAAAAAGAGATACCTTAATAGAGGGAGCCAGTACCAGTTTAAAGAGAAATTTGGCACTAGGGAAATGTTCAGAGATCCACAAAGATGACCCCCAACTAAGAATCTAGGGAGTAGTGGAGAGGCCACCTTTGATGCCCTTCTACTATAATGAGATTGATGACTACCTTAAATAATATCATAGAGCCTTCATCCAGTAGCTGATGGAAGTAGAAGCAGGCTCTCACAGTTAAGTACTAAGCCATACTCCTGGAGTCGTAGAGAGGAAGGAGGGATGAGCAAAGGAGTCAAAACCATGCTGGAGAAACCTACAGATACAAATGACCTGACCTAGTGAGAGCATAAGGACTCCAGTCATAATTCTGGGGGGAGCAGCATTGGGCCGAACCAAGCCCTCTGAATGTGGGTGCCAGTTAGGAGGCCTGGGCAGTCTATGGGACCTCTAACAGTGGAACCAATATTTATCCCTAGTGCATAAATGGACTTTGGGAGCCCATTCCCTATGGAGGGATACTATTTCAGCCCAGATACATAGAGGAGAGCCTAGGCCCTCCCTCATATGATATGACAGACTTTGATGATCCCCCATGGAAGGCCTCACTATTCTTGGGGAGCAGGTGGTAGGGGGCTGGTAGGGGGCATAGGAGGATGGGAGGGGGGAGGCAATGGGGGATTGATATGTAAAATTATTGTATGTAAATTAAAAAAGGATAGATACAGTCTGACATGATGGAGCTGCCCTTGTTATAAGATATCCTGAAGGTTGATGCCAAAGTCAGTGAAGCCCAAGAGCTTGAGACCAAGCTGAGGAAAACCCCAAAGATAAAGTATAGTTGGGAATCACACTTGGGTCCTCTAGCACAGTAACAAGTGCTCTTAATCACTGGGCAATCTCTCCAGCCCCTGCTTTTGGATTGTTAGCAATAATAATTGAATTTGTGATTCTTTGGGTTTTTACTGTTCTTTATTTAAAAAGAATTAGTTTTTGAGAGATAAAAAGATGTGCAGTAGCTTGTGTTATCTGAAGAGCCCCTGGCATTAGGACAAGGATCTATCCCTGGTGCATGAGCTAGCTTGTTAGAACACATTTCCTATGAAGAGGTGCCATGTTCAATCTTAACACAGAGGTAAGGGGCTTGACCATGCCCCAACTTAATGTGCCAAACTCTGTTGACTCCCCATGGGAGCCCTTAACTGTTGGGAGGGGTGGATGGGGAAGAGTGAACTGGGGGGAAGCAAGGAGGATGAAAAGAGGAGTTGGAGGGAGAACTTTGATTGGAATGTAAAATGAATTTTTTAAAAATAATAATAAATAAGTAAATATTTTTTACTAAGATCACTGTCTGCACTTCCAATGGATTCAGATTCAGTTTCCTACATCCACATGGCAACTTGCAGCCATCCATACTCCAGTTCCAAAGGACCCAGGGCCTCTGAAGGTACCACAAGTGCATGCAATGCACTTTATAGCAATGCAGACAAAGCTCTCATGCATATGAAATAAAGTTTTTTTAAATAATTATTTTCCTGATTAACACATATATAAACACTGTGTGTGTGATACTGGGGACTTGGTTCGTAACACACCCCCCCCAAAAGTCACATAAGACAAGATGGGTCAGTTGATAACTGTGGTAACTAATTGATAAGTATTTGAGCACATACTGAATTACTCTGACATATTTAAAAATTTTTAATATAAAGCCATTTCCTCCTGTTTTAGAGAAGTTTGACAAAAGCTTCCTTATATTTTTTTCTTTGATATAACAAACACTTGGCAAGAAACCTATTACTATTCCCATATTTTTAATTGGTGAGGCTAAAAGGTCACAGGACCAACCAAAGCTATTTGTGTATACTCTACATAGTATATATTCCAAAGCAAGGATAATCTTTGTTTTTTCCTTTCAAAAGGTCAGTGTTGGCATGTGCTTGTGACTCAAAGACCTCCTTTGATTCATGCTTTGGGCTTCTGTTGCTGTGAAGAAACACCATGACTGAAATCATCTTGAGGAGGAAAGGGTTTATTTCAGCTTGTCACAGTCCATTTCTGAGGACAGTAAGGACGGGAACTCAAACAGGGCAGGAACTTGGAAGGAGGAACTGTGGCAGAGGTTGTAATGGAGTGTGGCTCACTGGCTTGCTCCCTCATGCTAAGCTTAGCACATGGCGCTGGCAGCTGGCTCTGCCCACAAGCAGCAGCCAGTAGCCATGTTTCCGCACATCTCCAAGCCTATCTAAGAGACGGCAGTCAGCCACATTTGACTCTGACTTCTGAACTTCTTAAAGCTTTCTCATGCCTTATATGGATATTTGTGCCAGACATTTGGCTTTTCTTTGGGCTACCAGCTCACAAAAATGACACAGACTTATTATTAATTATGAAACTTCAGCCTATTGCTTAGACTTAACCCACTAGCTCTTATAAC